GAGTTTTCTAAAACTTGAGAAGATTGCTGTGAAAAATGACTTGGAAGAAAAAAGGATAAAAAGAGGTCATACTTACTTCAACGAGTGCGTCTATTTGTTGACATTCAGAGAGTAATTCAGTCGATGTATTAGTGTATCTTGTCAGAAGTTTCTAAAATAAATGTAGTAGCAATTTCTATTAGATTCTCTTTGATAATTAAATGATGAAGATACAGAATATTTTTATAATTATCAATATCATTTGCTCTATTGGTGTAACTTGTCAAGCATAGTAATGGTATACGTTAGTTGACACGAACAGATTTTCCATTGACAAACTTTGTATGTTTCAACACCCAGACAATGTGATGTTATTTGAACATTACATGTTATTAGTTTCTTTATTAGTTGTAGGTTTGTTTTCATCGTATCTTAATTAAATATTGGCTTATCATTACGGGAGAAAGCGCTCTTCAAGTTCATATATGGAATTATAATTCAATATAGTCAACGTAGCTGGTTGAATGTCAATATTAATAAAAATCAGTCTGGTTTGTTAAATGTCACTGTTGACAACGTCAGTTTGATTGGTTCAATGTCAGTATTTACAAGGACAATGTAGATAGTTCATTGTCAATATTGACAAAGTCAGTGTGGTTGGTTAGTTTGACACATTTTGTTTACGTCGCAGTGCAACACTAGGCTCAATGAAAATTGCCAAGACAAATTGCCAAGATTTTTAATGAAATAGGAGAGTTATCAGAGTTTTGAAGAGTTTAATTATAGGTTCCTCATTTTTCGGGCCCACTGTAGAATGGAAAAATAAGCAATTCCTGATATACCCAGCAGATATAATAAGTCTTAATAACTGTTATGCAAACTAGAAAATTAATATACACGAAACTAATGAAATTGTTCACTCTCATTTTTTTCAAATTTATGGCAGGTGACTCTTGTTGATTAGAACAAATAACTTTCAGTCACGAATTGTTATACGACATTGGTCGGACATACATTCAATATCGATGCAATGGGTGGGTATATACAATTGTGTCGGTTTCACTTGCCCATTTTGTAGTACCATTCAACATCATGCACAAAACAATAAAAGAGATTATCTAAATTTTGGGTGATTAGCAGCAAGTCCTCAAGATAGCAGCAAATAGTGTTTTAGAGAGTCAAGATTTCAGATCTCACTTCTCATGCAAAATTCCGTGCTGGCATGCATATGTTGCAAATCTGTACGTGTTACATCCGGGTTTTCGACCAATGTAATTTGCAGCATCTCTTATCTTATGTGTTACACAAATGTATTACAAATCACAGTGAGTATTTAGACATGTATTGAATGTCAATATTGACAAAATTAGTGTGATTCGTTCAATGTCAGTTTTGACAAATTCCCTGTGGTTCGTTCAATGTCAATATTGACAAAGTCAATGTGGTTGGTTTATTGTCCATTTTGACAAAGTCAGTGTGATTTGGTCAATATAAGTATTGAAAAGGTTAGTGTGGTTGGTTCAATGTCAATATTGACAAATTCAGTGTAGTTGGTTCAATGTCAATATTGATATTGTAATGGAATTTATTCGGGGCTCCACTACAAAAAGAACGTTACCCGGCCTAGTAATTTAGGGGCGATAAACGACGACACTTTCTACCGCGATACCGTGTCGCACGGTGTTTTGGCGGACACACAGCACGCACTTTCTTCTCGGGGGGATCCTGGTACCGCCTCGGTTCAACCACTTCACGATGTTATCTAAATAAAACAATTCACACACGGATTGTGGATGAAACAGAGTAGTTATATTCTCCATGAACCATCACATCAACGCCATGCTGCTCGAACAGAATTACAGAGAGTGTACATGTCAATCAAAAATAGTCATGTGATATTATATACTCAACCCGATAGGCTAATATCTGTAATAGGCGTACATCTAATACATATATGGAG